ATTCTTAATTGCATGTGCCGAGTATTTTGTTTCATATAATATATTGTTGTTGTACAATTGTTTTTGTTTGTGCACATTGATTTTGCTCTTTTTGTCTTTTTGTCATTTCTGCTGTTTCATCTTTGTCACAGCTGTTTGCGTTGTGTTTATTAGGTGCAAATATACAGTGCATCTAAAACTGTTCGCTAACTGATATTTACCAGCTGATTGGTTCACTGATTAATACATCGTTTTCAAAACCGTTTTTGCTTTTTTGCTTCTAAAACCTAAAAATAAATATAATTTTAAACATGTCGTGTATTTACACCAATTGCCACGTTAAAAGCGACTCCTATGTGTCATGCTGGCTCTGCGATGGGATTGCCCATATAAAATGTGCTGGTTTGAGCGGTAGAGTTTTAGACGCTATTAACGAGGGTAAGGGTCTTCGTTGGTCTTGTCAAAAATGTAGATCAACCGAAGTTGATTTATTTAAATTCTTCAGGCAGTCCAGAAATGGTTTTTCTGAGATCGGGAAGGATCTGTCGGCGCTTGTTGAGAAATTTAAGCATTACGAAAAAATGTTTAGGTCTTTCACTTGTCTCGACGACCCTCCACACTCTGAGGATAGCCGAGAAAATAAAGGTGGGCATGTTATTAGTCCACCTAAAAAGACAGCCACGGATTCTAGTAAAAAAAATCCTCCATCCCAGTCCTTAGAACTTATTAATTTATCTTCTCCATGCCCTCAGGCATTGGAGCCTCCGATTTCTAAAGCCATATCCACTAGGTCTACTTCTAAAAATAGTCAAACAGTTGATTTAACAGTGTTGCCATCAACATCTCAAACTCCACTGTCTAATTTAGTTCCTCCGAATAATTCGGAGCCCCGCACATCAGACATCATTACCAAAAAGTTGGTTGTAATTCCTCCGAGAAGATCAATCTTTGTCTCTAGATTTGCTAAAGATACTTCTTCGGATGATATAAAGTCATACATATCGACTAAAATTATTCGTAAATTAAATTTTAAATACGATCGCGATATTTCATCTTTTAAAATTGATGTAGCTTCCGAAGATTTTGATTCACTACTAAATAGTTCATTTTGGCCGACCGGGGCGTTTGTTCGCGAGTTTGAGTATAAACCTAATAAAAGTAATAATAACGTAGCTAAAATTTCTAATCTTAATTCGGATTCAAAAAACTAACTCGCAAGTCTAATTTAAGTATTTACTATCAAAACGTTAGAGGTTTGAATACCAAATTAACTGACTTATATTTAAAAGGTTTTGACTGCAATTATAATATTATTTCCTTGACCGAAACATGGCTCAAACCTCATATTTTTAATTCCGAAATTCTTCCAAATGAATATCAAATATACAGGAGTGACCGCGTGGGCAGAATCGGCGGTGGTGTTCTTTTTGCGGTGCATTCATCGATACCATCCGAGGAAGTTAGTCTTCCTGTCATTGAATATACCGAATTTAAATGTATACGTGTACAGGCTGGAAAGACTTATATTTATTTAGCTCTTTGCTACATCCCTCCTAATTCTGTCGTATCGGTATATATGCAGCTAGTTTCTTTACTTGAGACCGTAAATGCAATGCTTACGGCATCCGATTCTATGATTGTTTTGGGCGATTTAAATCTGCCACATATTTCATGGAACATCATTGACACCGATGTTGTACCAGTTTCATATAGAGATAGTTACAATGTATTTCTGGAGGAAATGGCTGAACTTTGCCTCAAACAAATAAATATATGTCCAAATAAGTTTGGAAAGGTCTTGGATCTCGTTTACGTTGATGATGTTCCGAAGGCCTCTATTAATCGGTGTGATCCCCTAGTTTTGCCGGAAGATGCATACCATCCTGCTCTTGAGTTAAGCTACGAAATCATAAATGAAATACATAATAATAAGTCAAGTTCAAGTACTAGATATGTTTTTGCGAAAGCAAATTTCAGGAAAATTAACAAAGAACTTTCAAAGTTATCTTGGCCAATATATAGAGATGACGTGGAGCGTAGCGTTGAGCACTTTAATGATACTGTTTTCAATTTGTTTCGAAAGTATGTGCCAATACGTAATATTGTTCATGAAGAACCAATACAATTATGGTTCACTAAAGAGCTTAAAAAATTGAAAAATAAAAAATCGTACTCTTTTAAACTGTATAAAAGAACGGGCTTACACAGAGATTACCTAAGGTACTCAGTTTTGCGGCATAGCTACTTTGCATTAAATAAGAAATGTTATAATTCATATTTATGTAAAATTAAGAAGAATTTAATTAACAATCCTAAATCATTTTATGGTTTCGTAAATTCAAGGCGTAAGGCACATGGTTTTCCGTCCGCTATGCATTATCGCAACACTGTATCTAGCGACAGCCAACTCATTGCCAACATGTTTGCTCGGTTCTTTAGGTCCAATTATTCTGTAGACTTCCCTATAAGTGGAGACTATCCGTACGAGCTTTGTCCAATCAACTCTGCTTATATTCTAGTAATATCTTCCGATGAAGTTTTACACTCTTTAAAAACCTTAAAAGCGTCATTTAGGCCTGGACCTGATCATATTCCGACCTGTTTTCTTAAAAACTGCGCTGAGAACATCTGCGAGCCTTTAACAACTCTATTCAATTTGTCACTTAAACATGGCGTTTTTCCGTCAGCCTGGAAGGAGTCTTTCATAATACCACTTCACAAAAACGGCAGCAGGTCGTCTATAGAAAACTATCGAGGCATAGCGAATCTCTCCGCTATCCCCAAATTATTCGAAGCAATTATTGTTAACCAGCTGACATATTCTATATCTTCTTCAATTACACAATCTCAACACGGGTTTTCTAAAGGAAAATCTACTATAACTAATTTATTGGAGTTTACAACTCATGTCTCAAACGGTTTTAGAGAAAATGCTCATACCGACGTAATTTACACCGATTTCAGTAAAGCTTTTGACAAAGTATGTCACTCGTTACTCATCCGTAAACTCGACCTAATCGGCTTTCAGCCCAGTCTTCTTCAATGGATCTCATCTTACCTCTCTGATAGAACACAAAGAGTTATTGTTAATAATTGTTCTTCCAACATCATTAAAGTTTCTTCAGGAGTTCCTCAGGGAAGCCACCTTGGTCCGATTCTGTTCCTGATATTCATTAATGATATTTCTTCTATAATAAAACATTCAAAAATTTTAATGTATGCCGATGATGTGAAACTTTTTAAAACATTGTCCTCTATCGAAGAAAGGTCTTTGTTACAAGCGGATCTGAACAACGTGGTTAGTTGGTGTAATACAAACTATATGCCACTAAACCTTCAAAAATGTAAAGTTATGTGTTTCTCTCGGAGGGCTGTTCAACCAGCTGTTTATTCAATATCAAATTATAATCTGGAGCAGGTATCCAATTTTGTCGATCTTGGTATCACAATGGATTCCAAACTGAATTTCAACCATCATATTAATGTTACAGTCAATAAAGCCAAAGGCGTTTTTGCATTTGTAAGGCGATGGTCAAAAGAGTTCAAAGATCCTTATGTTACAAAAGCTCTTTTTACCAGTTTAGTTAGACCTATACTAGAATACGGATCTATTGTTTGGAATCCCCGCTACCAAGTTCATTCAGAAAGGATTGAATCAATTCAAAAACAATTCTTGCTTTTTGCATTGCGTAATTTTAACTGGGATTCAGATTACAATCTCCCCCTTACACAAGTCGCCTAAAGCTCATAAATTTGCCTACACTCGCAAGTCGTAGAGAAATGCTGGGTATAATATTTATCGTAAAATTAATGACAGGCTTGATTAATAGCCCGGCCCTCCTGGCTGAGGTAAATTTTAATGTTCCTTCTCGAATGTCAAGACACTTTCGACCTCTATTTTTAAAGCCATGCAAAACTAATTTTGAACTAAACGAATCATTCCGTGGTTTATGTCAAGATTTTAACTGTCATTCCAGCACGTTTGACGTATCGGACTCGATTTTTACTATAAAGAAAACTATTATTTCCACTCTCAATAATTGAAATACTATCTTTAGCATATCCAATCAGCTGATGAATTTGATTCTGTAGCTGAATAGTTTTAGATCTCGACACTTAACAAACTCCTGTTTCCACTACTCGGCACGAAAAAACTAAACAAAAAAAAAAAAAAGGTTCCGTACGTCATGCGGACTGCGCCCCTCGTGTCGGTTGGGCGGGAATGGAGGGTAAAAAGTCGTTGGGATTAATTAATTAATTAATTAGTGTTCTTACAATTTCGAAAATGTTATGTAGAGATGCCAAACAACAACAAACAGCTGTCATAAAATCATGTAACTTCGTGACAAATACAACATAGAATTGCCTAATTGCTCGGCAAATCAGCCGAATAGGCCAAATACCGAAACCAGGCCAAACCTTCGGTCGGGCACTACCAGATATGTATAAGTTTTAGTAGTGGCAATATTTGTGTATGGGGTTTTTTTATATTGACAAAAGATTTTGTAAGATGGCTTTAACCCTAGAAAGATAACCTACGTCGCAGAGGCGCCCGCTCGACGAACATATTGCGATCTCTTTTCATACAGCGCGCGAATTAGCTCATGCTTTAAAGCGCAGTTAGTCAACGACATAGCGTAAACGTAGGTTGACGTACATAGCAGCATATCAAATTTATGGATCGCGATCCAGTATCGTGATCCATATTGATGCATGATGCTCCACTCTCTGCTATGCTACACCCTCAATATTTATAGCGTCATTATTTTCAAACTTTTGAACTGTGCAAGTCGTTTTTAAATAAGAAAAATGCAAGAAAATTCAAAAGGAGCGCGTTTAGCCATATTACTGGCATTTTCATTAAAAAAAGAAACAAAGAGGAAGTATTGGAGTCGAAGATGGTACCTGGAGCGGCATAGGTACACTCATTTGAGATTATTGGATTCGATTCGACTTTGCAAGGAATTAAGCGACTACGAAAATTACTTTCGGATCTCGACTGAAAGTTTCGACCATATTCTTGAATTAATCAGCCCATATATAACTAAGCAAGATACAGTTATGAGAGCTGCAATTTCGCCAAAAGAAAAACTGGCGGTGACTTTGCATTATTTAGCAACAGGAAGGTATGTACCCAAATCTAATGATATTTGTTCACAACTTATTGTGATTATTTTACAGCTACTTTAAGCAGGTGCGGTATACAGCGATTATGTCGCGGCAAGCAATAAGCGAAGCGATCATGGATACATGTGAAGCTTTGATATACGCTCTTCGAAACTGCATTAAAGTAAGTGTACTAAATGATACACATCTACATATGGTATTTTGTTATAATTTATTCAGAAAACTGTGCAAATAAATACATATGATTTATGTAATAATTTTAGTTGCCAGGGAATGATGAAAAAATAGATCTTAGTGAGTATTCCTCTGTGCTTTGTATTTCTTCAGTGGCACCTACTTCAGTATTGTATATTAGCATTGCTTGGCCACTTGGAGGCAATTGCGAGGAAAAACTAGATTGCGAAGATAGAATAGGAGACCGAGTATGTGGGTAGTTAGGTGTTATATATTCATTCTGCAGAGGCATTCCAAAATTGGAGTCTGGTGAAGGTGTTGGCGGTGGTACATAAATAGGTGGCGGTCTTTGGACTCGAATAGCTTTAATATCTGGTTGCGGTGATGATTCAGAGAAACGTGGTAATGGTGGTAATTGATTATACATAGTGGGTTCTGGTGTCGGAGCTGATGACACATCCGTGTTGCAAGCGTCTGGATATACAATTATTTTAACAGAGTTACGTCTCAAGTTACCCAGTTCTGCTTCAAATAAAATATCATTAATTCCTTTTTCAGCTAGCATACGCTGCGTTGGATTTAGATGCTCTAATTTTTCACTCCAGTATAATGCCGTTGCGTTTTTGTTTGTAGAACTTTGGGGTGCAGACAATAGGGAACATGCTTTTTCAATTAGCTCGTTTTGTTTACCCACTGCACAATTTTTTTTTGTTTTTCCGAGGAGGAGCCAACTCGCTAATAGATGAAAAGGAAGTGTTAGATAAGTCCTCTCTATTTGTCTGCTCCTCAACTTGCACCAATTCGTCCACATTTTGCGATTCTACCTGGTTCTGAAAGAAAGAAAATTATTGTTAATTAATAAAATTGATTTTAATTCTTTACATTTATGCCCGTTTGCACCAATCAATTTTAAAATTATCAGCATGTTAAAATTTAAAATGATAAAATGTGTTCGGAAAATTTGTCATTTTAAATTTTAACGGTCTGATAAATTTTAAAATTGATTGGTGAAACTGAGAGTTAATTTTATATTTTATTTATAAAATGGATTTCAAATTTCTTTTTTTAGATGCCTAGTACAGCAGAAGAGTGGAGAAGTGTTTCTGATGAATTTCGTTTATTACATAATTTTTATAACTGCATCGGCGCAGTTGACGGGAAACACGTAAAAATAAAGCGTCCAAATGGTTCGGGAGCGCTATATTATAACTATAAAGGAACATACAGTATCGTTGTTATGGCTATTGCGAATGCTAAAAAGGAATTTGTCATGGTTGATATTGGATGCAATGGACGCGTGTCTGATGGTGGTGTCTTGTTTTACACTAAATTCTGGGAGCGTTTGCAACAAAATCGTTTAAATATACCGGAATGGACACCATTGCCAAACACCTCGATATCATTCCCATATGTTTTTACAGGAGACGAAGCTTTCGCGCTAGGCCCTAACTTTATGAAGCCTTATCCTCAAAAAAGAGTATCACAAGAAGAGCAATTGTTTAATAAACGGTTATCGAAGGCTAGATGTGTCATTGAGTGTGCGTTTGGTATCCTCGCCAATAAATTTGGAGTTTTCCAGAAAGCCATAAGTCTCAGCCCGCAGAAAGCCGCAAAAGTGGCAGCAGCTTGTTGTTATCTGCACAATTATTTAATGAGAAAAGATTCTAATTATCAGGCACCAAATTCCAATGAGTATAATTTTCTATTAACCACCGTACAAAGCAGTTCGGCGCGAAATTCAACAAGATGTGCCAAAACTATAAGAGACAAATTTTGCAAATATTACAATGACGAATATAGATGCTAACTTTTGCCACTCAATTTTTATCA